ATCACATAGTGTCCAAATAATTAATTTATATATTGTATAGTGCAAAAGAATTTGTTATTTATGCTGTTCGTCTCTGCGTTGAAGCCGAACAAAGACTTCTGTGGGGGCGATGACAATTATTTCTTCGAGTTGTTGAAATGGTTTATGGGTTTTCTCACCGCAATCGATCAGTGTGTACGTTTTCAATAGTCGAACAAGTAACATTTTCATTTCAAACAAAGCAAAACGCATGCCAATACAATTGCGTGGCCCAGCTCCAAACGGAATCCATGCCATTGGATGTCGTTTTGTGGCGAATCTTTCAGGATGAAACTCGTTTGGATCTAAGGGACCCCATAAATCCGGATTATAATGCAAACTGTACATGTCAACTGTAATTAGTGTACCCGCTGGCACGACACCAATATCTTGGATAGAAAAATCCTCAGTGCTCTGACGACTAATAGCTACAGGCGCAATGGGAAACATGCGAAGAGTCTCTCGAATGAACATATCCAAATAGTCCATTTCGGAGACGGTTTCATATGTCGGCATGATGTCTTCTGTTTCTGGATTAAAATGAGCGTCGATGTGCTCTTGCAATTTTCGCTGTTCTTCTGGATGGGTAGCGAGAATGAATGTCGCGTAACCAAGAGCTGTGCTCGTCGTCTCATAACCGGCAATCACTGCAAGACAAAAAACAAAATTTTATGACAGCTAGAACGCGAGAGTTTTTTGGTTTACGCACTAAAAAGGAAAATATTGGCAGAGATCTCATGTTTGGTAATTTTTCGAACCAGAGGTACTTCGGTCTCAGTATCTTCAGTTTTTTCGAACGATGTTGCATGATCCTGAAAATACAAAAGCACAAGTGTTACGAAACTACCCATGATGATAATCTTGAAAGCCGTCTTAAAGCGAATCTTACGTGAATGAAATCTTCATCAGATATGGAATCGAGCATCAACTGCAATAAATCTGTTCGACGAGTATGACCAATTTGTTTACGTTTTTCAATCATTTCATTGGCTTGTTTCATAACCCATGTAGCGGGATTTTCGTCGATAAACCACTTTGTCACGGGAATATACCGCCGAAGCCAATAGCGAATAATGCCAAGTGATAGAAATATACTTACCCACACTTGGCTCAATTCTTCTATCAAACGATTCAAAACTAATATGGATTGACGAATCTTATCAGGTAAAAAGAATCGTTGCGAATGGAGAAGATACGGATCATTGACATTATTTTGCATGTCAGTATCGAGACCAAAACCACATGACCAAATGGTGTCCATTGTGAATCGTTTAAAATATGCATAGATATCAAATGGTTCATCTCTGCTACACTGCTCGGCCATTTTAGCCATTAGCATTTTGATACTGTGATGAATCAATGGTGACATTTGTTTGAGTTTTGCCGAGGAAAAGGTCGGATTGAGAACAAACCGTTGTCGTTTCCATCGAAGACCGACAGCATTGAACAGACTAACATCCTTTGCTGCTCGATTCACAAAAGGAGGCGGACGGCGAGTATGAAACTTGGAAAAAGATTTAATAAATACATCTTGGAGAACGTCTGGATCAGATATTGCTAGAATGGGTGTATGTCCCTCGAAATAACCAAAGATGTGGCCATATTTGTCAGTCCATTGCTTGATGGCAATTGATAGTCCTCGAGTTCTATTGATTTCTAAAAAGTTGCCAAAGAAAAACGTTGGTGGTGGTCCTGGAATGTTGAGTCGTGCGAAGAAATCGTAAGCCTTTCGAATATGCCATATATACGCAACAACTATGACGAATAGTAAAACGACGAGAACACCAGTGAGGAAAGACATTTTGTTGCGCTTTTTTATGCTATCACAACACAATGAATAATCAACTACTTTATTCTTTTATTGTAGTAGTAAGGTGAAAAAGAGTGCTTTATTTTTCTTTTTTCTTTTTTAATATTGTTCTGTTTTATCAATATACTGTGCTAGTCAGACGCATGTTTTTCGTTGTATATCGTATGAAAAAAGATTTATTTATATCAGGCAGTATTTTGTGGACAGAATCGCATAGTTAGATAAGTATATTTATCATATTTTTAACTCTCGTTGTTCTTTTTCTTCGACCTTGTTAATCTTTTTCTTTCATACTCAGCAAACAAAAAAAGAAAAGAAAAAATACCAAACGTCGAAAAAGCACGTTGTTATATATCTTCCTTCTCACATGTTAATCGTTTCTCGCCCTATGGAATTTATAAATACTATTTTATAAAAAAAATTATTCTCTTGAACTATGAAACATTTAGAAAAGGGTTTTATATCAACTTAAAGTGTGTATTTTGTGTACCTCATATCAACAGTCTGACATTATTCCTTACCATAAAAATAATATTTTTGACATCTTATGAATCCATAATGTTATGGCACACACTGTGATCATGTTATGGAAGAAGGGTACTAGCTGTCGGTGTGGATGCGGGTATGAGTGTAGATATATTCTTTATCCGCACCCACCCTTATTTAAAAGTTAAAATTTATACAAAGTATTTTCTTGTGGTTATTCAATGTGAATTCACCTAGCACGATAGTATGTATTTTCATATTATCTTGTAATATTAGCTTAAGTACGTAAATTTTTTTTAAACTGGGGTACTTCGTAAACATTTTTTCTCAAAGTCTTTTATTCCATTTACATCAGATTCACATAGAAAACAAAATTGTTTCATACATGCACTGCATAGCATCCAATTATCTTGAGTAGGGTGTGGGTGTGGGTGTGGATGGGTGTGGGTGTGGGTGTGGGTGTGGGTGGGTGTGGGTGTGAGTGTGAGTGTTGGGTGTTGGTGTCGGTGTCGGATGTGCGTGTTGATGAATAGTACATCCACACCCACACCCTTTTAAAACTCCTCAAGGGTTCTGAGGTGTTCAAAAATATTTTACTAATGATATATTGTTATAAAACGTCATTTTTCCAATTTTGGCTGAAAAGATGAAAGAAGAATAGCTATGGAACTTTTTGCTTTATTTTATCAAATACACGAGTAATTATCGATATTTCAGTATGAAAATAAAGCTCAAGATATACTCTTTCTTTACTAAAAAAAATAAACACATTTGCTTGAGAATTGGAGTCCCTGACGGCCCTACAAAAACTGAATGATCGTCAGGGTGCCATTCCTTTACAGTGCATTGTTTAACCCTTGGAGTACCAGCCGGGGTCATTTTTGACCCCACGCTCGAAATCTCCGAAAAATGCTAAACATGTTTTGTTGTTTCGCAGTTTTCAGCAGCAGCTAGTAACCTTTACGAAGAGATATATGATAATGAATCTAGAACGAAATACATTCTTTCTCCATATTAGTGCGCCCCCTTAGTAAAACATTGTATCAGTAATATGTTTTTTACAAAACGGAGAAACAATGAAAATTCTAATGTCTAATAAAATGAGTCATTCTCTGATCTAAAGGGGTGTGCATTTTCAATCCATTGAAATATTTTTCATAAAGATTATGGACAGTTCAAGTGAAACCGGAAGCGACAGTGATTATTTCGATGATGCAAACAGCGGTTCGGAAACGGGAGATGGCGAAAGCCAAACATCCGACGATGATGATGAAATTGATTTAGAAAACCTAAAATTAGACGATGACTCCACATGGAAAAGTTCGTATACTTCCCGTTCTGGAATGATTTGGTCCTCAACTCCTCATCATTCAACGAAAAATGATTTTTCGAATGATGTTATTCAAAAAGCTGGTCTTACAAATACCAGTGAAAATATTTCATCTGTCGAAGATGCATTCATGTGTTTTATGCCAAACAAACTTCTGGAAAAAATCTTGGATTATTCAAACTTGGAGTATACTCACAAGAATACCTCCACGAAAAAAAATTGAAGAAATAACACTCATAGAATTGAAAGCATTTATTGGACTTTTATTGCTTGCTGGTTTATTGGGGAAATCGAAGATCGATCTGAAATGCTTATGGAGAAGAAGTCCATTAGAACCGCCAATATTCAAAGCCACTATGTCAAGAACTCGTTTTCAGGATATTATTTCTTGTTTGAGATTTGACGACAAAAGAACAAGGGAAGAAAGAAAACGAACAGATAAATTTGCAGCAATTCGTGAAATCTGGTCATATTTCCAAAATTGCTTACAAACATGTTACACACCGGGATCAAATGTTACTATTGATGAACAACTACTAGGATTTAGAGGAAAATGTTCCTTCCGTCAATATATGCCAAAAAAGCCTGACAAATACGGATTAAAATTTTGGCTATGCGTTGATGTGGACTCACATTATGTATTCAATGCATTTCCTTACGTTGGACGACAACCGAATGAGCAAAGACAAACACAGATAGGTGCCAAAGTCGTTCTAGAATTACTCAAACCACTTTACGGCTTCCAAAGAAACGTTACAATAGATAATTTCTTCACAAGTGTTCCATTAGCCCAAACGCTTCAAACAAAGAATCTGACTCTTATAGGAACACTGCGAAAAAACAAGTCAGAAATACCTATCGAGTTTCAATCCAACGAAAATCGTGAAGTGGGTTCTTCGCTCTTTGGTTTCCAAGATGGTTTAACCTTAGTTTCATTTGTCCCAAAACAGAATAAAGCTGTTTTATTGCTCTCCTCAAAACATCACGACAATCAAGTGGACAATAAAACTGGAAAACCGATCATTATATTGGATTATAACAAAACAAAGGGGGCTGTCGATACTGTTGATCAAATGTGTCATAAATACACGGTAAAAAATATTTCAGTATTTCTATAGCTTATTTTACTTTTCAGGTAAAACGAGGTACAAAGCGATGGCCAGTTTGTATTTTCTATGGGATGATAGACATTGCTGCCATAAATGCTCTGATTGTCTGGAAAGTGAAAAATCCTCAATGGAATCAGAATACAAATCATAAACGTCGATTATTTTTGGAAGAATTAGGATTAGCACTGGTATCGCATCTGTTGGATTTTCGTTCGAAGAACTCGAAATTTTTGAACACAGATATTCTAAATGCTTTAGCAATCGTCGGTTATCCTGTGTCGAAGAACGATCCGGCAGAAGCGAATGAAAATCCCACTCAACCAAAACGAAAAAGGTGCTCCATTTGTGAACGTTCTACGGACAAGAAAACATCAATTCAATGTTTCAGTTGTTCTTCGTTCGTTTGTAGTGATCATTCTGTCAAACGTGTCTTTTGTATTAATTGTTCTAAATAAGGAACATCGTTCTCATTTTTTTCTATAGAATAAAACAAGAAAAGGTCAGATCTTACGAAAATATTGGCTGAAAAGTAAAAGGATTATTAAAAAAGAACACATGTCATCAAAATCACGGTTAAAAGAGGCCGGTACTCCAAGGGTTAATTCTGAAACTTTCAGAAAGCAATGATCAACTACGAGAAAATTTCTCCTAAAAAATTCAGATGGATTCATTAGACTTTCACTGACTTATGGATTTCACAATAGTATCACATGGTTTTCCTGTACGTCGATGATTACAGTAAAATGATCATAAGTCTTCAATCACTGGATAAATTTCCATGAAATTTATATTGTAGATAGTTTCGATTCCGGGCTCTCGAATAATAGGTCCTACAGAAATAAACATCCTATAATAGCTGAGATATAGCCGTCACAAGGCGAACGCAATGTTCAATGAATAACTTCATTATAAAGCAATCGATTGATATCGGGCTGGTGCTTGCGATCAGGGTTAATCGTGACTCACATGTATGCAAAATATTAGCTCAAAATCATTAAAATTGGTATCACTTCAAGGGGGGTCGATACTTTTGTCCAGGAGTGTAGATTATTTGTATACTATTCCTTACAACAGAGTTCTTTTTTTTTCTTATTCCAGATAGATTAATACTACAATATGTTTCTAGTTATGCTACGGATTACTGAACTTCGTCTTTGTAGGGCGTGGGTGTGGGTGTGGGTGTGGGTGTGGGTCAGTGGAGCTGTAGAGCGTCGGGTAG